TTTTATTATGCTAATAACTTTTGAACCGTAAGGCCTATCAACAAAATTCTTTTTTCTTCTTGTTCCTGAGCTCATGCCGATTCGATCGCACCCTATGACGTCATTTTACGTCATAAAAAATGGCCGCCATTTTGAATTTTCAAAAAACCTACTTTTGCGAAACTCGTCCTAGACGGTTTGTCCGATTTTCACCAAAATCGCACCGGATCATCTCCAGGCAGTGCTGACAAAAAGTTATGGAATTCAAGATGATTCGAAGAACCGTTTTCGATAAACGCGCAAACTAATTTTACGTAGCGCTTGCAAAAACAGACGTGAGGCTGTATCTCCGCAACGCTTAATCCTATTCAGACCAAACTTGGTACATGTTATCACAAGCATGACCTGAGGCTACATGCAGCGTTTCGGCGTAGCGCCACCTAGTGGTCCGGAGATATGAAAAATGGCTATTTTTGCTCGTAACTTCTGAACGGTTTGTCCAAAAATCAAAAACTTGGTCTCGTTAGATTCAGGGCATCATGCCGAGTCGACCGATATCCTATTTTCCCAGATCGGCCATTTTGGCTGTCGGCCATTTTGAATTATGTGCTGAAATGCTGTATTTTTTGAACGCATGAACGAATTGTTACGAAACTCGGTATGGGTCATCAGTACGATGCCCTGAAGGAGCCTGAGAAGTTTCGAAACAGCGCCACCTAGTGGTGAATTGTTTTATTCAAACGCTTATAACTTTGGGTGTGGTACACTTATTTTCACGGGAGTCATATTTTTGAGGTCCTGAATCGTTGCCGAGTCCAACGATACCAAATATGTCCGGTTTCGTCTCACGGATGGCGTAGCGTAGCGATTTAGCGCGAAAAAAACACTTGGCGATATCTTCAAAACCGCTGTTCCGATCGAGACGAAACCACCGCCAGAAACACGGAATCATAGCTTGTTAACTATACGCTAATGCCCAAATGCGAAAATATTGATAGTAAGGGGTAGTAAAATTCAAACAAAGTCATGTGTCAGTCATTTTTTACGTGTTTTTTCATATAAATGTTTATAACTCGGAAGCAAATTGAGATATTTTCACCAAAATTGACACACATATGTATGGGGTCACTCTGAGGACACATAAAAAAAATTGTGGGACTGAGCCTCTTGGTGGCGCTATAATAGAACAAAACGTGAAATTCCCATTGACTTCAATAGTTTTGTGAAATAAAATGCTATACTAAACAAATGCATTGGTGTAATATTACAAAACTCAGTGTGTGCCATAAGCAGCATGCCCTGAAGGTACTTAAAAGATTTTGAGACAGCGCCACCTGTTGGTCAAAAGTTATAATTAATTTCTGAGAACGCTAATAACTTTTGAATAAATTTGCCTATTGCAATGAAACTGATCTTAATAGATTCCTTGGGTTATGCCGAAAACATAGATATCAGGTTTTCCATAATCAGACAAACGTCCTATTCGCCATCTTTATTTCTTTGAAAAACCTTCTTTTTCGAACTCCTCCTAGACCGTTTGTCCGATTTTTCACGAAAATTGAATCGTATCATCTCCAGACCGTGCCGACTAAAAGTTATGAATTGCACGATGATAGACAAAACCGTTTTTGTATACCACAGCATCAAAATTTAGGCATGCTGCCAAAATTACTATTTAGGCTTTATCTCTGCAATGCCTTCACATTTTGACACCAAACTTTGCATGTGTCATTGTCACCTCACTCTGACCACATCACATCTATTTCGTAACTGCGCCACCTATTGTTCGAAAGTGATAACCCATTAAATCATCTTATAAGTTAATGTTTATGTGATTTTCTTAGCCATTTGCCCAAAGTTCTCTCAAAATGCCCTTAATTGCTCCTTGCAGCAGTTGGTCTGCCACTCCTTGCCATTTTGGCATATGTTGCCGCTTCTTGCGCTTGGCCCCGGTAATGGCTGCTTGCAGCTATATTTCACTTTAAAATCGTTCAATACTGTTTTTGTATCAGTAAGTCAGGCAGTGATTAAAAATCAACTTCACATTGTTTCTTTTAGTAGGATGAAAAACAAATCTTATTTAAATTGTGAATTATAAACAGAAAGAAAGCGATCAAAGAACAATCACAGTGCGAGTTTATCTGGACACTTGCGAAACTCGTTAGGAATTCAATGACGCACGTTACACTGCACAACGAAACTCTAACGTTCGTGTCTGCTGCATTAGAGATTAGAGAGACTGCATTGCAATGATAAGATCTTCACCACATTCGTGAGATCAAGATATGTGCATTAGGCTATTCGTTCTGTTTTCTTTCCGTAGTAAACAGTTAGGTTTAGGTGGCATTTTTCATGTTTTCATCGCAATCATGTTTTTGATGCGGTGGCGACGCGTTCATGTAACATAAGCACCTAAAAGCTGATGAAAAAGCAATGATTATGAATATGTCAAATATAGCAAGGAGACATTTTAATTGTTTATTAATAAAGAACTTGACTGACTTACAATCTTCGCAGTAGGCTGAATGCGCCAGAGAGATGCACAGAGCAGAGCACTCTGTTTTCTTTCGTTTTGAATTGTTCTGTGTACAGTTAGACATTTCAATATAGATATATATTTTTTTCAGGTCTGTGAATAAGCTAAAGACTACTTATACACCTGGAGTTTCGATTCACGAGGCGCTCCAGTTCACAAGCCTGCGCCTCCTATCCGTGTTGTAATAGTCTTTGTCTGCTATATTTACTTCTTATTTATTAAATTCAGGCAATTGGTGTATTAAACATTGGTTAAATTTAAGAGACAATTAATAAAAAACGAATTTCCCTTAAAGAAAAGCTTTGTGTCTTCTGTTTGAGGTCTGTGAAAGTTTTATAGGAGTCTAATTAGTGCCGCTTCAGAGCGCTCGCGTCCGTATAACAGAGAACTCACGTCTGTAACATTATTTTTTCCCTCATAAATGCGAACAGGAATAATAAAATAAAAATGAATATTTTATGTTGTGGAGAGCTAACCCTTCTTCGTCGAATTTGCGCAGTGTAATTCACTGAATTACAAAATATGTATTGCCTTTAACGTTTTTGCGTGTCTATTTCCCTAACATATAAAACGCACGTGTTGACTGGTATTTTCTTATGTCTGGACTCCTTTAAAGGGATAGTTCACCCAAAAATGAAAATTCTGTCAGTATTTACTCACCCTCATGTTGTTCCAAACCTCTATGTGTTTATTTGTTCTGCTGAACACAGAGGAAGATATTTGGAAGAATGTTTTAATCAAACAGATCTCAATCCCCATTGACTACCATAGTAGGAAAAAAATACACACTATGGTAGTCAATGGGGATTGAGATCTGTTTGATTAAAACATTCTTCCAAATATCTTCCTCTGTGTTCAGCAGAACAAATAAACACATAGAGGTTTTGAACAACATGAGGGTTAGTAAATACTGACAGAATTTTCATTTTTGGGTGAACTAACCCTTTAAGGGAGTAGCCTATTGATAAACAGACGTTTCTATAGGCTATTGGTATATTAAATGCATTTTCTGAGAATTAAAATTTCAAGTTTGACTGCAAATGTCATGTCATTTATCATTTATGTAAATCATTCATCCTCAACTAGTTTTGTGGTGTAGGTCTATGTATTTTATAATGTTAACTTCAAATAATACTAGCCTAATTTAAAGATAAGGTAGCATTGGATCTGGAAGGATAACGCTGCAGTTGGGAGGGGTACGTCGCGATTCTGCAGGTTCGTGGATCTGAGTGTGGCGATTTTGGTTTCATATCGCATATCGTTACAGCCCCAACGTTAAGTTCTACTTCTGATAGTTATTTTGGTGAAAGTAACACAAACGTTATACAGGAGTAATTTAACGCATTACAATTCTGAGACAGTAATATTGTAAGGTATGAATCACTTTTAAATAACAGTAACAAGTAATATATAATATAATGTATTACAGTTTGGAAGTAACTTGCACAACACTGGTTACTTCCAAACTGTTATACATTATTTATTACTTGTTACTGTTATTTAAAAGTAGGCTAATCCAGTCTAATGCTACCACATATTTAAATTACTATTAGTAGCCTATTATTTGAAGTTAACATTATAAAATACGTAGACCCACACCACAAAACTAGTTGAGGATAAATTATTTAAAATTTTAGGAATTCCAGCATTATGGACATGACATTTGCAGTCAAAACTTGAAAAATACATTCTCAGAAAATGCATTGAAATGTCTGTTTGTCCATAGGCTCCTCCCTGAAAGGAAATTAGAAAAAATATCAGTCTACACATGCATTTTATATTTAATATTAGGGAAATAGACATTCATGCGTGACAAAAAGAATCTTTAACTTTTAGGAAGCAACGATTTTTGTAGTTGTAATTCTGTGAATTACACTAAGCAAATCAGATGAAGAAGGGTTGGCTCTGCACAGAATATAAAATATTCATTTTATTTTATTTTTTGCGTTCACATTTGAGGAAAAAGCAATGTTACAGAAGTGACAAGACTCCTTTAAAACTTCCAGAGACCTCACACAGAAGACACAAAGCCTTTCTTTAAAGGGAATTTCGTTTTTAATTAATTGTATCTTAAATTTAATCAATGTTTAATACACCAATTGTCTGGATTGAATAAAAAAGAAGTAACATAGCTGACAATTATAGATAATAACGTCCCGGAGGTGCAGGCTTGTGAACTGGAGCGCGTCTCAAACCGAAACTCAGCGTAAGGTAGCATATTCACGGACCTGAACAATATATCTATATTGAAATATCTACTTTTAAACAGATCAATTCAAAACGAAAGAAAACAGAGCGCTTTCTGCTTATGAAATTAAATGTGCATTTCTCTCTGCTGCATTCACTACTGCAAAGATCGCGAGTCAGCATCAGCATCGTCAACTTCATCTTGACTTTATTAATAAACAATTAAAATGTCTCCTTGCTATAATTTTACATATTTGAGTAATCTGTAAGACTTCTGAGTGAATAAATATAAATTCACTTAGGACATTTGAAACAATAGCCTATACTTACGGCTGAGGAGGGTCCGTGATGCCATCCTGTGGAAGGCCCTCTTCTTGTTCACACCCTTCCAATTAATCGTGCGAGACAGGGGGCAGGAAAACATGTATGAAAGAATATTCCATGTCACCCTCTTCAAATCTACACCCCCGACAGCAGACAGGGTATTCACCTAGGGGCATGAAGATAGTTGGATCACCTTTTAAACAGGTAAGCCACTTTTTTGAAAGTTTTTTTTTTCTTTAGAATTAAGACATGTGGGTAATTGGATGATGGTTTTATCCATAACATTCAAGTTACATCATCATAAAGAGCTTAGTCTATTGTAGCACTAAATACTACTTTAGATTAATTAGATTTAGTACAAGATGATACAAGTGTCTTGAGAATACAATGAGAGCATATTGGGGGAATATGCTTACAAGGGCATGTTTCTGCCTATCGTTGGCAGGGTCCGCCAGCCAGGTCTCAAAGCGGTCCAGCTCTGCATCTGATTCCAGGGGGAAATGAAATTCCCCGGACCACTCAAAGGCTGCTGGTTGGAGGCCGTTATTGACCTTGGCCATGAGCAGGTTCACAGTGGTGGCGAGTTGGGCAACCTGCTGCTTTAGGTTTTCCAAAAGTAATAGGCCATGTAGCTGAGCCGCTGAAACATTGTGAAAGTTGAAAAAAATGTGTTAATCTGGAGAAAAGACTTAAGACTAAAGGTTATTTAAACATGAAAGGGTTAGTTCACCCAAAAATGAAAATTCTATTATCGTTTACTCACCCTCATGTTGTTCCAAACCTCTATGTGTTTATTTGTTCTGCTGAACACAGAGGAAGATATTTGGAAGAATGTTTTAATCAAACAGATCTCAATCCCCATTGACTACCATATGTATTTTTTCCTACTATGGTAGTCAATGGGGAATGAGATCTGTTTGATTAAAACATTCTTCCAAATATCTTCCTCTGTGTTCAGCAGAACAAATAAACACATAGAGGTTTGGAACAACATGAGGGTGAGCTAACAATGATAGAATTTTCATTTTTGGGTAAACTATCCCTTTAAGGAAATAATACACACAATGATGGTCAATAAATCAACCCACAGCTGTACTATACTTATATATATACAGTACAGACCAAAAGTTTGGACACACCTTCAATGCGTTTCCTTTATTTTCATGGCTATTTACATTGTAGATTCTTATTAGCTACTATATATATATATATATATATATATATATATATATATATATATAAATAGATGTTGTAAACATTGTTAACATTCCTTTTTTTTATTTCTTACGTGTGCAAGGAATTGGCCCTGTTTCATGGCCAACTCTGAAAGTTGGCTTGAAGAGGAGGTGACCTCCAGGCTCTCCACCACCGCTGGCTAATTGAGGAAAGGTATGTAAATGTTAAAATCAGAAAACAAGAAAAAAAAAGTATGGATATTTATTGTACACATGTACTAAATTTGTATGAAAAAGTCACCATGTGAATAGGGGAAGCCCATATTAATGTCAAACACTGGACTCAAGTGTTGAGGTGGTGGTGGTGTTGACTGGTGCGCTGAGTGTTGAGGTGGTGGTGGTGTTGACTGGTGCGCTGAGCTATTGATTACTAGATGAACATTGAGGGAAAATGATAACAAGAGAGGCAGATTGTCAGACAAGGACAGAAATTAACAGGACAGAACATCACCTTTGTACTTTCATTTGTATTGTAATTTTGCTACAGAGCACGATTCCTACCATTGAAGGGGTCTGACTCCCTCCTCACATTCCAGCTTATGTCTGTAAAGGTTTCCTGTCCTGTGTTGTCCAGAGACTCCTGACCCATGTCCACTGCGATGTCCACTTTTGATAAATGAAAACCGTGAATCAACATATTGCAGTGGTACAAATCACAGGACTGTACATTGTTGCAGTTGGCAATCAATCAAAACTTACAGAGGGGGGCTGGAGGGAGACTAGGAAGGGTAGCGCTAATAGCGAGTGGTTGCCGAGGCCGAGGCCGAGAATCTGGTCTTCTTTTTGGAGTCTTCTCAGTTTCAGAGTCAGTACCGCCGTTTTCAAATCCTGGGTAACTGGTGAAGACAGAGGTCAAATTGTAATGACAAGGCAATAGCGTCATTTACTGGGCAGGCATGAACAAAGGCTTTTTTTTTTGTACAAACCCATCCCCAGCCATAGCTTTTGCAGTAATACAACAATTATCTATAATGTACATACTGTGTCGCTTTTCTTCTCCTTTTTGCCATTGAGCTCTCATCCTCTGACTGGAGGACTGTCGTTCCATTTCTGTTGTAGTCCTTCAGCTTTTGCCTTGCCTTACTGAAGTCATCTACTATTATGAAAAAAAATAAAAATTAAGAAAGACAGATATGGAAATAATTAAGGATAAATTAAGTAAGGCATAACTGTTGTTCTAACATGTAAAGACATAGAATTACCCTGTTTGTTTGTTTATTTACCTTTTTCAAAGAGTGTTCTTATTTTGAAGATTTTCCAGCCAGGGCCTGGCATTTCATGCCTCTTTATGGCCTTTTGGGTTTTTTCCTCAGAAATGAATGTTGGCCAAAAACATTCATCACCTTTAACCCATGACCTTGGCACAACTTCTGTAATGTCCTCGTCGAGGAAAATTACTCCACAAAATGTCTTTTAGAAATCATTGTGTAAAAAAAAAAAAGATGATTAAAAAAATACATAACTGAACTGAACTGAACTATGATTTCCAAAAAAAAAAGTCTCTAGTCCTTCATATGAAACAATGGTATGACCACCATTGCCTCATTGAAAGGGACAGCTATGCATTTTTGTGTGAAAGATGACAGTTTGGAGAATTTTATCTCATGGCCTAGGTCAGCTGGTATCACAATGTTTAAAATGTCTGAATTAAAAGGATAGGTAAAAAATGTTTCAACCATCCCGTACTGTCTGTAGGCAATTGTGATATCACTGTGACAGTCAATTATATTAATAATTTGACACACATTTTTGCCCATCAGAAATGTGTTGTTTCGACATGTTGTGGTCATGGTGAACCTCTCTGATATCAGTTCATCATACTGGTGACAGATCAAGTTTGGTACTGGTATAGGGCCTCGGGCATGTTCTTTGCACAATTTGATGGGCTGGTCACTTGTAACACCACCATTTGATCCCTCGGACAGGCGTCTGATTATTTGGGCCAGGGGATTTGAGGGTTTGCGTACAAAACCCTTGAGTTTTTGCAAATAATTTTCATATGGAAAGGATGATATAACATCCAGATTGCCAAAATGTTTTGCATCCTGTGCAAGATGGGTCAACCCATGCACATTGTACACTAACTGATCATTTCCATACAGGCGGGCAAAATGTTCCACAAAAGCATGAAGGAGGCTGTTGGCATATTCGTTGTACTTTCTGGCAAAGAAAGGGGAGACCAGCATTGCCATGGCTGTCGACAGCAGCAGGAAGTTTGCATATAGATCAGGTCTTAACACCTCGCGCAACACCACCGGCCCTGTGTATAAGAGAAACTGACGGAACTCCGTCGCCTTCCATCTATCCACTTCGTTCAGTGCTCTTGGCCTTCTAGCAAATTCCGAAGGAATGTGGGGTCTTAAGCTTAGAAGATTTCTGGATATTCTGTCCACGTCTCTCCCTGGTACACGGACAGTCAGAGGACCTTTCATCCACAGAAAGATAAGGCGCCTTACCACCCCCAAACACATCAGGTGCATGTAGTCCAGTGGGACTTGGGACACCAAACCAAAATGTACATTTGTGAAGGCATGAGGACCATGGTGATGTTCCTCATCCTCCTGCCTGGCAAATGCCTCATCAGACCGTGTTTGGCTATTCATGAGGGGGTATGTCATGCGGTGGTTGAGGTACACCCCACTCTGAATACACTTGTCACAGCCATAGTAACCGTTAAAAGCCTTTGTGACTTTCAAAAGGATTTTGCCGGTGCGTCACAGATCATTGAATGAACTTTTAAAGTGAGCCTTTTCCCTCAAATGTAAACCCCTCCTGTAATTGTGAGAGTTCATTTGCCAAATCTGTGAGATACATTTTAGATGAATCAGGTTTCTTTATACCTGAGTACATCCCAATGACTACAGGTTCTTTCATGGGTACTCCAACCAATCTACCTAAAATGGGCCACAACTGAAGACCTGAACTTTTAAAAAGTGGCAGGCCATCCACTGACATTTGAAGATATAAACAACATCCATCGACAAGCTTGTCTTTCCACTGGGAAAGGGTATGTTTTAACGCCTCAAAATGCCAATGTAGTGGTAAAGGCCACCGCAGAGCTCCCTAACAGAATAATCTCTTCTTGTTTTAAGAAGAGTTCGTGCATCTTTTGGCAAGTCACAGTGGTGGATCTTTAATATTGCCAAGAGAGCCGAAAGTGCGATATGGGAAATGCAATATGTTAATGCCCAGTTGGAAAGGCGATTTATGAGTTTTTCTGGTTCCTCCCAGTCAGATACTTCTTCTACATCACTATCATCTTGATAATAAGATCTATCCTCTGGGTCAGACACAACAGCTGCCATTGGATCTAATCCAAGATTTTCTTCCATGATTTCATTTTCAAGTTCTGCAACATCATCTGTTGGAGACCCAATATCTCTGGGAGGAAGTGTGGCTGCAAGTGTTTCCTGGCCGATATCAATTAACCTTCTATTAAGGTCTACCCTGGCTCTTCTCCTCAATGCTGAACTGGAAACAGGTGTCTTGCGTCTATTCATTTTTTACATTTAGGTAGCCTAACGATCTCGAATGGAAATTGAATAAAAAAAAAAAAAAAAAAAAAAAAAAAAAAAATATATATATATATATATATATATATAAAGTATGGAGTTTGAAATTGAAATGAAAATCTGAGTATTATACCTTCGTCTCAACAGTTTGCATCATGTTTTCAGCATCTGGAAAAGAAATGGAAAGTATGTTGTAAGTTGTTGTCTTGCTTAATTTTATTTATTATGTGACTGGAAAAGTTGTCTGGTTTATCAAAAATAAAGATTTGGTAACAAGTATAACATTTATTTGTCTGTCTGTCTATCTATCTATCTATCTACGGCTGACTCAGGAGACTCACGTTTGTTTACAAGAAAATGAAAGTAAAATACCAATAACAAAATTGTAATTGTAAGGTTAATTGTAATTGGGGAAGGCTAAATGAGAAAAATAGTGGTAATGGTCTTTGTTCAGTGTAAGGTTGGAGGCATGTACATTCAGATGTATTTCTAAATTATGTAGGCTAAAAGGCTCAAAAGGCTTTAATGTATGTTTGATTTCAGTAACATACTTTGGCCATGAATAAAAAAAAAATCATAATCACAATTAATTTATTTTTAGTCCAGGCAAAGTAGCATTTTACGACAGACTAACATCCAGCACAACATACTAAAATTCCTAAGAAATCCTAGTTCAGGAAATATGTTAATTTATCAAAATCCAATGTGTGCCAATAAGCCAGGCGACAATACACATTTTTTTTCCTTTACTCCTATCAAAATAACTTTATGAAAGTACCCATGAAAAGTATTTTATTGTTTATTTTAATTTTTTTTTATTACAAGTGTCTTTGAAAATTAATTGTAATATGCAAATATGGGGTGTGTTGTTACTGGCTGGCACACATTTCGGATTGATGACAAATTAACATATTTGCTCAACTAGGATTTCTTAGGACTTTTAGTAGGCTATGTTGTTCTGGACACAAGGGCGTAGGAACGTCTTTGACATTGGGGGGGACATACTGGCCACTATGAATCAACGTCTATCCCACCACCATAATAGTAACATAGTTTGGTAATGTGGTACATGCAGTGGCGGTCTGTTTTGGGGCCCCCTCCCACTACGTGAAGTCACCTGTGCTTGACGATTATTGACACAAATGTCATGCAATAATGATACATTATAAATGAATACAGTGTTAATACAAATAAATACTTGATTAAAAAATAGATGCCTACTTAAATAAAAAAGTTTTAACTTTTACGTAACTCTTTAACTCTTTGAAACTTCTTAAAACAAACTGTCACGAAACATATAAAATAAATTATTTGCTAAAATTATGACAAAACTCAGAAATCAGAAACAAAATAAGAGCAAGGGTTCAATAATGACAATTATTGTTTAAAATATTATTATTTCTCAACTTTCTCAATACAGTGTAACTGTCCTCAAAATCTTTTTTATTATTATTATTGTAACAGACTTTTTTGGGTTGTAAATGACATAATCCAACAAAGTCTGTTAACACCGGTAATGATGTACTAGCACTCGTTGTATGTGTGTATGCAATGTATTTTTCCCCTCGAGGCTTGCCGTAGATGGGTCATGCGCACTTGGTATGGTCGCGGGATTTTGGAGATCTGATGTGTGGTATAATAATAAAGTGAAGAAGAGTTCAAACTGCTGTGTTTATTATTTATTCAAACTGCAAACAAAGGTATGTGATATTATAAGTAACATGGAGCTAATAACAAAAATAACATTGTCAGATTAGATAAATCATGTAGGTTCCAGTTTAAAGCTGGTGCGTTTCTAGTGTAATGTTAACTTCTCTCTACCAATCAGATGCTCCGGTGATGAGTGAAATATATGAAGCGAATGGTGATTATTCAAACATGAAATGGGAAGGTTTAATGGTTTAACCTAACTATGACTCTGGGTTTGACTTGCTGGCAAAACTGTATATCTTCTTTGTCGCGCTTTAAAAATAAAAGTTCCAAATGTACAGTTTTTGTTCCTGTGGTAGGTTAGGTATGGATTTTTTTGGGTGGGACACATGCCGCATTTTTCCATATTGAGGGGGACACGTCCCCCCCCCCCGGTTCCTACGCCAGTGTCTGACACCTCATAGAAATTATCTATGCAGAAAAAAAATTTGGATCCAAAATGAGTTAATTAGTTTGCCTGGACTATGTGTTTTATTCTCCATTTTTACAAAAAAGCACGGACTGCTGGGAAATCTGACGAATCATTTTATTTCTCATCGTGACGTATTCTGATCTACGTCCTCGAATGTTATTGCTAGGTTTGTCTTTCTGAGAGGTGGCACCGTTAATGCACCGTTAAGTTTGCCAACTGCCATTAAAACACAAAAATAAGTTTTTTCTGAGAGTGTCTAACTTAATTGTTAACAGCCAAGCAACTGCAATGTTCAGCAATCCAAATAGTGGTGCTCAAAAATGAAAAAGATAAGAAGCTGCAGGTTGTGGCATCAGTGATTGACACTGCTATGATGGCTAGCTGGGAGCATACAAATCAAGCGAGTGTTTAAATGGTCGGTCAAGGTGTAAAATTAATGGTGTCATTTTCACGAATGTGTGCCTGCAATTATCAGCGCTTTAACGGCATAGCGGCTAAAGCTAAGACCAAATGTCCGAGACCGAAAACCGGGGACTCCCAAAATTTTGGAAAAAACGGGGACATTTTTAGTTTGACTGTAAATCTGATTAAAATACATCTTCCAAAAAAAAACAAAAAAAACAGGGACAGGGACAGGTAACAGTTTTTCTGAATTTTCCCGGAGGCAACCAAAAATGGGGACTGACTGTCCCATAAACCGCGGGGACGTCTGGGCATCCTAACTAATTACCTTTTAAAATTCAGCACATTAACGCAAATATATGCCATTAAAAAGTTGGTTTGGTTATTCTAATCGGGTCTATTCTGTGCTACACCCTATTTGTATAGCGCAGTAGGGCTATAGCAGATGCGTCTTTAACACACTTTATGATTCGCAAATACTATAACAAGCCTGTAACTGCTATCTATAAAGCAAACAGCATTTCACTTGCACTTTTAAGTAATAGACAGTAAATTAGAATAAACACATACAAATAGATGTACATAATAAACACATAGAATAAACACATAAAAACTTACGTGTGGTAGCCTAGCAGGTCAGTTAAATCTGCGTTGAGCTTGGTTTGATGATGATATCTTTTTTCTTTTTTTTGGGCGCTTCTGGCTGAAGTCCGTAGTACGGATGTGGACCGTATCTGCAAGACGACAGTCAAGCGAGACCCAACGTTCACTTGGCGCTGTCGTGAAACGGACCTAAAACGGAGCTCAAACTGCTGTGCTGTAACGGACCTTATAGCATCACAAAATTTTGCTGTATAGTTTTTAAACACGAATAATATTGCTCAGCTTAATGACAATACATTTATCTCATGCTCTAGATAGAAAAAAAATATGCAGACAACCATGTTGTTTTGAAAATGTTTATTGCACGGAGTTCTTCACACAGTTTGAGAAAAGTATTTCGGATGTGGTCCACATCAGGTAGTCTCTGTCAAAACAGTGTTGGCTCAAATTCGTTTTGCAGATATGGGCCAGAACAGTTTTTAGCCCTTTTTAAAATGCAGTCGGCTCAGATATGTATCACAGATTCGGGCCACACCAGTGTGAAAACAGTATCGGCTCAGATTCATATTGCAGTTCTGGACCAAATCAGTGTCAGACACAGCTTGTCTTTCAGTTACATATCGGAAAAGTGATCTGGGCCAGATCTGTAAAATGGTATAAATACTGAACTGATGGCAGCTAGAATGTTTAAGCTGAAACTTATATCTGGTACGGATCTGGTTCACAATCAGAAAACGTCTCTAAGATAAAAACGGAGGCAAGGGGCTTAAAACGGATCCGGGCCAAATGTAATTGCTATCTGGGTCCACATGAAAGACCCACGACTGGCAGATCAACGTGCTCTCCAAAACAGTAGGAAATCAAATTGGATAGAGTAGGATTTTAACTGTGACAAGATGATTGACAGTACAATTTACAGTGACAGGATGCACGCAGCCCACGACAGAGCTGCCCGTTAAAGATGACGTAATAGTATGTCCCAAAGCTTGCCTATTCTTTTGCTACACACTCAAAAGTATATAATTTTTCTGCACAAAAACAGTACATACTTTTAGGGCGTAGTATAAGCAAATTGGGACGCAGCAAATGTAAGTTTGCCTCTCATGGTTACATTCACGGTTGTGTACTGCCACCTACTGGATTTACCAGGTCACAACACACTTCAAGTAATTTCTGTAGCGTAGTCGCGGAGTGAAATGGACGACGAAAAACATATCAATGAAGTAGGGAAATGAATTAATATTTCCCTGAAATATTTGCAATAAACCACAGATTTTTCAAAGACAACATAAGGAAGTCAGCAGCTTGGAGGCAGATCGCAGATGTCATTGTATTTTCAGGTAAGATTCTCTAATTATTTTAACTTACGACCTGAGGTAAAATTTTCTGTGACTGACGTTAGCAACGAGTCAACGACTGTACTTAATTGTTCAGTAAAACAACGTACAGGTAGTATTATCTTAATCTCATAATGTCCTTAAAAATAGCAGTAGTAGTTTGTATCATAACGACTTTTATGATATTTCATTAAATAAATCTTCATGTTGAAATAAGACTCCAATAACATGCCACAACAGGAATATTTATTGATGTTAACAATGAAACCAATAGCTTAAGCGAAAAATATGTAACACATTTGTTTTATTGAACAAACAAATCATATTAGTAGCTATAAGAAATGTTGAAATTGATTTGTAATAATATACATAATAATGCTAATAATTAATTAGTGCAGTCTATTATTAATGCTAATCAAAGACTAAATTATTGCGTAAGCAGGCATACATTAAGATATTAAATATTTACATACATTATGATATTAAGAAAGTTATCAATTCTAAAATCAATTAAATTTAATAAATAAAAAATTAAACTAAGACTATGGTGACCATTAAACCATTTTATTCTGCCAATATACATGTCCCTCTCCATCGATCCAGGAGTTGGGGCACTGGTATTCAGCCACCTCTCTAGTAGGTAGATTGACACAAAGTGTACGAGTATGGTATGAAGAAATTATGACAAGTGGAAAAACTAAACTAAATTTTGAAAAACTGAGTTAATAGTTGAAGTGTTACTTGTAGTTTTTTGTTAAGTAACCATTGCAATGATTTTTTATATATATTTTCTAAATTGTACTTTCTTTAAATTGTACTTTTGTACTTTTCTATTAGGTGGCTGGGCAGTCATTACATGTCCATGTGGAGTAGTCTATTCCACCAAATTCAACATTAGAGCAGAGTCTCCCAGAGACTTTGCGGACTTGATGCTGAGTTGGAAGCCCTTTCCTAATGTTGCAATATACGACTTTGCTAGAGGACTAGCAGCACACGTTAATCTTTATGAAGCAGATTCTTTACCTTTCAGTCCCCATGAAGGGAGACTTGCTGAACCAACTACAGAAAATATCCAGCTACCAAAGAAGGCAAGCTCAAAGTTAATCTACAGTGGTTGAAAAATAAGAAGGAGAAGGAGGATACCAACTGCAGTCCTTTGACTGGATCATCAGAGCATTATGCTTTGTATGATAAATTCCATGAATTCAACACAAAAGACCCAAGAGATGCTCTTAGGAGAGTCCAAGTTGTACCAGAACTTTGTGGATGGGTAAATACTCAAACCGCAGAGCAACTTTTTGCTGCAATGCGCAAAAACAATTATTTCCTGAACATGCTCACGCCATCAGGACACACGTTTTTGATGCGTTACATCATTCACCATTATAACACGGCACAGAATAAGAACATGGAGGACAGCCTGAGAAAAGTTGTATCGCCAAGTGATCAGTTCACCTTTAATGGTTATGGTCAGATAGTACTTGGTAAGTTTTTTTTTTTTAATTTTCATCTTACAATGACCAGTAATTTTGTAAAATCACTTTTTCTTGTACTGTAAAGGTACAGTACGCCTCCACAGTCCCTAAATGATAGTGTGAGACTCTCATGTGATATTACACAAATAGACCCAGTACACTGTAAGTAATGTCATGATAAACACTGTACTTGTAAAATCTCACTTCACGGTATAGTTGGGTAATAATATTTTGTATCTTTCAGACCCCGGCCGGGGTTCAGTGGATTTGACATCCCTACGAAATGTGCAGCCAAACAGGGCATGCTGGATGCATCCACAAAGCAGTGACCAAATGAAGATGGTATGTTGAATTATTTAGCATTTATTTTTATGCAAAGTGTATAATCATACTTACAATGTTTTTTTAAAAAAATTTCTAGATAAAAAATGCTTTAAATGAAGATGAATCACAAAAAAAAATTGTCTCAAGTGGGAGCAACAATTCTGGACAGATCAGATTTTATTACCTTTGGCCATCCAAATGATGTTGAAGGGACTGTGAGTATTATCACATCCACAATCATGCTTTTGTTTTGTGATGAGCGAATTTTAATTTTGGTTTCTCTAAAATTATTACAGATTTTGAATGCCTGCCTTTCAGTTGTCAGAGACATTGCTGACTTAAAGGTAATATTTTTCCTGTCTTCTGTGTGGAACCTTTTTTGGGAGTGAGAAAATGTGCATAGGTGATCCTTTATATGCAATCAAATTAACTGTAATTTTAAATGGTATCTAACAGAACATAAAGGTCCATTGTGTTAGCTCTTATGTGACAGTGACATGGTTGCCTCCATTGTGTGCAGACCCTTCAGCTAACTTACCTTTAAGTATGACTTGTGCAATTTTAATAGAAGTTAACTAAGGTTGTTTTAGGTGTTTGTTTGTATTAGGACCATATAGCAAGATGTGACTTCATCTTACTGCCTTCCTGGGCTACAAACCATTGGATGATATGTGTAAGTATTTATGGTTTAAATTTTGAGAATAACTTAATCGAGCTAGTTTTACATATCATGAAACCAAAAAGCAGAGAGATGTATTTCCTTGATTCACTGTACGGCACTGACTTCAGCGATTGTCGTTTCATTGGTCCCTACAGGTTTTTTCAGAAAAATATGAAGAGTTCAAAGTTAGTTCAGGATTATGGTAGTTCTGTTTTTGTGCCATACATCCTTTTGCATGCATTTTCTTTTTGTTTTATGGCTCATTTTCATTGAAGCTTAAACTATTTAAATCTACCTAATCCATGGAATAATATTTTATAGTTCATATATAAAATTGTTTAAGCAATGATAAATGAGCCAAAACTTTGTTTGGGGTTGTTCCACCCCAGTTTGTTTGTTTAACTGGGGTGTATTTGTGGGTCTGCTTCAACTCCATTCTCCAACTGCAGATAAAACTCCTCGTCAGTACATGCCTGCACAATGTTATGGTCCTGGTGCTTCAAAGGGCATTTAATCCCCACACATTCTTTCCTCCAACATGCACAATGCACAAGTGCATCAGGAATCATGCCTATTTTAGGGAAAGAAGGGTTGATTATGAATCCAGTGTTCAACTTTCATGTCCCTGTGCCGCAGCTCCGACTGTGTGATGTAGGAGATCCTTGCTGTATCCTCTTTTTCTCTCTCCCATTAAATGGCCTCAGGGCCATTGCCTGTCTTTCTCAGTGAAGGTTTCTGTGGATAGCACACCTTGACTTTGCTGGTCTGGTTAAATGTGCCACCTGAGCGGGTCCGGAAATTGGGTGATGTGCTGGTGTCTCCACAGACTGACCGATCAACGGCATTTTTTCGAGCTGAGCTTGTTGTAAAGTCAATAATATGGCCAGGCACTCCCTGCACTTTGGTTATACTGGAGGGCATCACCCAGTACAGTATGCTTTAATATCAGTTGGAGTCACATTTCCCCGCAGTCACACAGCTGTATCGATCTTGTAAAGGAGGGCTGCCTGCCACATGTGCGCACTTCTCTGGCATTTTTTTTTATTTTTACTGATTGTATGGTTGTTGTTTTGTATAATCCGCGTGTTACTTATGTCACATGCGGCTGCACAACAATTTACCCCCCGGGGATAATAAAGACTCCTTGAACCCCACATGTAAACCATTCATCATATTTACATCATTCTTTCTTAATGCAGCCCTTAGCCACCCTCGACCCTTCCTGCCCCTGATCATCAATGAGCTCCGACTCGAAGGTCCATGAAAAGGATTAAGGGGATGCTTAGGTAGC